GATTTATTTATTTAACAGCAGCCCTCAGCCTTTAATTTGAGGTAATGATTGTGTCGTCTACAAAGACAGCGAGACCGTTCACACCTTTAATTACCAGCATGGTACAAACAGGGGGCTCACATGACTGTGTCTGAGTTCCYGGCTGTGAAGGACACTGATCAACAAGAGCATATCTTCAACCTGTTGCATTCTTCTCTTCTTGTTTAGTTTTTCCAGGACAGCTGYATCAGCTGTGATCTAACAGCCAACTTGACAAAAGTGGCGACCGTAATAAACAGTTGATTATTAAAACGCAGATGAACACAGCACGGTGGCGCAGTGGTTAACTGTCAGTGGGAAGGTCTCAGGTTTGCCTCCTAGTCTGGGCTCTTTCTGGGTGGAATTTAGATGTTCTGTCTGTGAATGTGTGAATTTTCTCTGGTTTCCTTCAACAGGATAAAAACATGCATGTTAGGTTAATTGTCCCTAAGTGCACAAGTGGGGGGTGTGAATGTCTCGTTTGGCCTTGTGATGGATTTGTGTTGTACCTGTCCATGTTAGTGATGGGCACCAGCTCCTCCATGACCCGGAACAAAGAAGTGGGTAAAGAGGATGGATGGATGGATGGATGGATGGATGGATGGATGGATGGATGGATGGATGGATGGATGGATGGATGGATGGATGNATGGATGGATGGATGGATGGATGGATGGATGGATGGATGGATGGATGGATGGATGGATGGATGGATGGATGGATGAATGGATGGATGGATGGATATTAAACACATCAGAACCTCAGAACTCCACACGTTTTAACAACAAAGCCATTTTTTCCCTTATCCTTTGATTCCGACTCATCCTCCAGTTGGAGGACATCAAACATAAATCACAAACCCTCCACACTAACTTCACCCAGATGTGAGAAACAAGCTGCGCTTTCTGTTTTTCCAGGCCGAGATTGATATTTTTCTCTGTAAACCCTATCRCACACCATTTGTAAAGCATTGTTGATGTTGCAAAATTTGTTATCCCAACGTGACAAATTCCTTTATTGTCCCAGACAGATCCATTCACGGCTTAAACACAGCAACAATAAAACAACGGTTCTTTCCCCCCCCTCTCTCCACCCGTTCTATACTGCCTGGCTTGAATATTCAAAACGTGTTCATTGTCTTTGTGTGTGTGTGTTTTGTTCGTTGTTTGTTGGGCTGTCATTTCTCAGTTTGGCTCCTGAACTTCAAAGAAAAGGCTTATGTCAGTTTTTGATGAAATAGAAAAAGCTTATAAAGTAAAAAAGAAAAGAAAAACTGAAAAGARAAGAAGAAAAAGAAAACCTTTCTGTGCCCAATGTTCCTTCCTTGAAATGTGTGTTTATTGATGGGTGTTCAATAAATCAATGGAATATAATTAAATTCAAACCATGCTGTGCTTTTTTTGTTGTTGCTGTGGTTGACCTGCTCAAGGCTGAGCTCAAACAGCATCCTGCGGATGGCCTGAGATGGTCCAAATGACAACTGTGCTGTCTTTCATTGGAGGATGTCACCGAGCCAATATTCAGTCATGCATAGCATTAGTGTTTGGGAGACCCACAAGGCAATCAAATAGTGCACTGCTAAGATGCTGACACTGATCTCATTTGATATAACTCAAGTCTGATAAAGCCATTTTTGATCCACTATTAGAGGCTAAAAAACAGAACGGACACCAATGCCCACAGCTAAGTCAGTTGAGGAAGGTAACAGATATATTTTTCTCKACACATTTTCTCTTTTCTGTCGTTCTTGTCAGCAAGACTCAGCGGTCTGTCCCTTCACTCCAGCTGTTGTCGTCGTCCCCCCCTCCCCACTCTAGAAGCTGGCCCTGGCCACGCAAGCATAGGGAATCCAGTTGGACAGAGTGGGAGGTGAGCCTGCGGTTGGTAATCACCTGCTGGCTGGTAGGCGCAGATGGCACAAATATAAGCAAATGTTTATGCAGCGCTGATCCAAGGAGTCTTTCTGACAGGATGACAGACAAATGCAGGAACCTGAGAAACCCACAGCAGGCTGAGGAATTACCGCATGCAGATTTGCCGCTGAAAACTGTCAACTTGGCAGATAGGGAGCTACCTGTAGTGCAAACGAAGAGTTAAAACACTCATCTCTGTGCTGTTTTAACAGGGAAAGTGTAGACGTCAGGGCTCGAGGGATTGTCAGAATGGGTTGTAATGATATAAATGCTAAAAGCGAGGGGGGGATAAAGGCTATCGGCGAACTTGACCAGTGCACAAAAAGAATTAAGAAGTGAGGTCATCGACGAGATCAGAGCACGTTATCTCCTCCCTCTTTAAGGATTTTTGATACCTTTAATTGCTTTTGTGACCAAAGACCTGCTTTCTTCTCCAGGTTTTAAAGCWGCTATATTCACTCCTAAAGATGCATTTCTGACACACCAGAGGCAGATCATTTAACAACGGCTGCATGAAACTATCGCTAAAGTCAGGCGTGAAGTCTATTAGCTTTTCTGTCTCAGATGAAAGAGTTTGGTTTCAGACGTCTAATTTGTTGATRCTTGCAGAGATTTGTTACGGTAGTCAGGGTCTCTCATCTTGAAGAYGCTTCAGCTTCTTCTGTTACATGTGTGCTATTACTCGGTGCTGTGGTTTGTCCTTCACAAGAGAYGGGTAACACTTGCCAAGACCTAGTAATTAGTGCAGATGGGGACTGTAATACTCTCTTCCCCTCCCTGCAGAAATGCCAAGGGAGGCAATCTATAAATTCCTGCATATTAATGAAATTCAAACCCACTCCAGACACCTTGCTGGAGGCAGGTGATAAAAAGGTGAAAGGCAGGCTACCTGGCACGCCGCTGCTGATATGTCGGCGACGTCGCGTCTCACCTCAGCAAATTTCTGACCCCCTCCACCCACCCCACAGTTACACAACAAAATAACTTCATAATCTGACTCTTTTCTTAGAAAATGCTCTCCAAATCCCGACCTTAGGCCTTACAGCTGCCTGACTATCAATAATTAAATGGTAATCTAAAAACCCATTTTAGTTGGGTCATCTTTCTGAGCCATTGTCCCAGCCTCTCCTCCTCCTCCTCATCCTCGGTCTATTTTTTCCTCTTTCCGTAAGATCTAGTTAGAGATTCCATTAGCATGAGAAAGCAGGCTGGTAATTGTCTTCACCCTACAGAGTGATCCCTGGATAGAGGATTAGGCAGAGCGAAAGCCCTATTTCAACTCGGAGCACAGATGCTKCTTACAGCCACCCCATCCAGATTAGATTAGACTGCAAAGGGATGAGACCAACTGGGAACTTTGAGCTACATTAATGTGTAGACAAGAGGTTCAAATCAAAACTTTTATTTTCCTCGGCACCAGCTGTGACCACCTTGYTTTCCGCTCTTTGGGGGCAGGAAGGAATATTCTTTTTAATCTACTAATGTGCTTTTCTGTTGAAAATACAGATTGAAGGGAAGGCAGCTTATAGTTTCTCCCTTTCTGGAATACACAGGGTATTTAGAACTGAATCTCCCTAAATCATCCCCCCGGGCCACCCTGTCCGTCACTAATCTGCCCGCCACCGCCCACTCATAAGGAGGTGTCACATTTCTGGCACTCCTCCATGGGATAAGCACTTCAAACAGCAGAGCTTCTCCACTTGACCTTTCCATGGAGATGATCGATTAAGCTCTTTGGATTTATTCCATAAACAGGCAACCATTACATCAAAAAATAAATAAATAAAAAAGGCAGCGAATTTACCTCTGAGGCAGAACTTGAAATCCATATAAGCTTCACGAGGATTCCAATTCTTTATTGGCTTTTTAAATCCACTTTTTGCACCACATTAATAACCACAGGGCCTTTTTTATTTTTTATTTTTTTTGAGTCAGKTATGGTGTCTGAATCGCAGCACGTCTCCCTACCTGTAATAATAACTGAAGCAAATCGCACAACAAAGTGAAATTCAGCAATCTGTACTCCATGAAAGCAGTGATGCAGAAAAAAAAAACCCAGTTGAGCTCTGGAAAAGTTAAACAGTAACAATATTATGGCTCTGATATATTTTTTAAAAAAGTGCACACATATTGTGGAAATGTAGAGCTGTTCAGGAATCTGAAGCGAGGAGCAGTGAGGCCAGTAAAAAGTCTCGCAGTCTAAGCCATTAAGTTACAACACTGCAGGCTTCCTGTTTTCATGCTTGAACACCTTCTACATGCGCTCAGTGAGGACACGAAACAATCTCAAGTGAAACAACAGGGAAGGGAAACCCAGAACAACAGCGAGCATTTCAGTGACAGAGTGCTTTAAACCACAACAAATCCCGTCACTTCAAATCTGATTTGTGAAAGTTATAAGAAGAATCTAGGTTTTATTTTACCAGTAAGAAGGAAAGATCTCTTTATCTCTCTCTCTCTCTCTTTTCTCTGAGGGGCATCCTGTTTGTAATCACAGTGGCCAGTGAGCTGTGCTCCGAGGGGCTCCTGCTCTATGGTAATCATATCCCATTTGAATAATGAGGCAATACCGCAACTCCTGCTGCCCATTCCCCCTACATCCTTCACTGGAGTCTTTGATAGACACTAATTCTAGCTCCATCTATAAAGCTCCTCTCATGCATTTTTAATAGAATCTATTACTTTAGGATTAAATTATAAAAGACTGTCCTCCTTAAATTTTTAATAGTTTGCATAATTGGTATCAGGGCCTGAATGCGCACCATAAAAACCCCGTTTGTACAGGACTGAGCTGCAGAACGGGTCACACAAAACCACACGTGGCAATATGACACTGTCACACTCAAGCACACATCTGTTCGTGCGCCTGCACACACACACACAAGCACGCAGGGGTCCTAACGGCTTTGAACGAAGGGGACAATAAGGTCAGAGAGAGTTGATTTTGGCTGCTGAAGCCCTGAAGGAGCCGGAGACACAAAGAGTCACCTAATGGAAACAGGAGACGTGAACCAGGTGTCAGCAGAAACCTGCTGCCGTCGATGTCAACCGCAAGCCAGAAACACTCACCAGGGCAAACAGCAAAAACTACTTAGCTGATTTACAGCCTCCCTTTGTCCCAGCAGTCTCTCATAAGTGTGTTCAGTCTGCTTGGCTGGAAATGCGTTTCCCCCTCTTTCTGTTCCCTGTTCCAAGCAGATCAYCCACGAGTTAAATGTCATCGCTCACTCTCTGCAGCTCCAGCTCAGCTCTTTCCAATAACAGACCGAGCATACAGGGGAGCAAATGTGTCTGAGGCATCTCCTCTAAACTGGAGGCCCCTTAGAAATCTGTGCACGTCACCATCCCCCAAATTAGCACCACAGGGACACCTTCCTCACCGCCCCCGCCTGCTGGCGGCAGCTCTTTGGCATATCTGTACCGGGGAAATATTTCACACTGTATGAATTATTAAGCGTGGGGCCAGTGCTAAGCAGTGTGGAGATAGACCAGTTATTCACAGCTCTATTGGGACGGATGCGTCGGAAACCCGGGCCGCTCGCCTATCAGATCGTTTGTCATGAGCGATAGACAATTTACAATGAGAGAATTTTTCAATTTATTCATTCTGCTGTCACTGCAGTTTTCTGGCACTGCTCATTCCACTCAACAGCCCCTCCTCCTTCAGCGCTGTCTCATCTGCTGAGGGGGGCTCTGTGTCCGAACCTGCTCCTCTGTCTAGGCTCACTTTGTGTTTTCTCCCTCTGAGGGAAAAGGTGAAGATGAAACAGATGATTCTGCATTAATCATCCCAATGATCAGGACAACTTGTGATGTCTGACGTCATTTAAAGAGTTATCTACAACAGGTGAGATGTTTATGCTCATAACCTTTCCACAGAACCTCACGTCAAAGTATCTAAACTATCACCCTAAAGCTCCTGTAATGAACCTTTGGCTACGATTCTGTGATAAATGAAAAGACAGGAAACAAGAGATGAAAGAGATGGCTGTTCATGTCAGAACTAAGCTTCTGGCAAGATTAAACCCTTTCATTAAGGTCTTAGATATTTAGACATGATGAATTTGTACCACCCTCTGTAATTAAACTGTAATAAAAGTGCATTTTCTAAAACCAAATCATGCTATATGGCGTTATTAGCTGATCAATTTTTTTGAGGATGTAGAAAAACAACTCAAAAGGGCATGATCCTGCTTTTTTCCAGTTACAGAAAAATGCCAAAAATCAACTCCTACGCACACAGATGGAGGGCCTCAGAACAAACGCTTGGCATACTGCAATTTCAACAATAATTACCAAAGGTGAACCAGCTGTCAAAACAGCTGCATGTTTCGCTTTTGTTCACTGACATTTTCTGCTAAAGAGGACAAACCACGGACCAGAACCAGGAGTTAAAAGCAGCGCTCTGACACTTCTTCACCACACAGAAACTCACAAGAGGAAGAAAGACATGAATTTTCAACAGCTGTTTCCACGAACCATGCGATAAGAATAACAGAAACGAGAAAATGACGTTGGTTATTTTGTAGGTCTGAATGGGAGCAGTTTGACCTGCAACACGGCTCAGAGTGTTTCTGTATTTGTGTTGTCCTTTGAACCCGTTACAGACGGACTGCACTGAATGGGTCCTGATGTGAAAGGCAGCGATGTTAGATAAATGTCCTCGCAGGCAAGGCCTCTGCCCTCATCCTGATGATGCATTCTTATACTCAAATACCCCCCCACACACACACACACACACACACACTCACATTTGCAAACATAGACACGCAGTGCCAACAATTCCAGCGAGGGCAGCGTTTGTTTGGGGACAAGGTGACCCTGTTGCCTGGGGGCCTGTGAACAAGCACAATAGAAGCCTCTCATCCTGCACACACCCAGCCGGCTGTGTTGGGCTGCTGATGGGTGGAGGAGGGTGGGGTGTGTGTGTGTGTGTGTGTGTGTGTGTGAAGCATCACAACACCCTTCTATTGCGGGTTTTAAAGCCCTATTCAGGAAGCCCCCTGAGATAACTCCTTTTTACTCCCTGCACAGACGGAGCAAAATCCCGGCTTGTGAGCCAGAGTCACGCAGTCAACAGATGGAGCAGCTATTGAGTGAAGGATCGCGCCGGCAGAGGCGGCTCCCCGTCCATCCCTCCTGGAAACAATGGGGCAGCAGGTCAAGAGTGCTGTCTCCAAGAGGGAGGGGTCAAATAGGACTGTGGTGGGGGTGGTGGTGGCATGCTTTGACACTGTCGAGCTATGCGAGCTCTTTGAAAGCAGAGGAAACTAAGCGACTCTTTTCTGGATGTTCGGTGCAGAAGGGGAGGAGGAGGAGGAAGCTTGTGGCTGCGTGCGAGGCATTAAAGCGGCTTGTGCAGGGGTTCGTTTGGGGTGTGTGGGGAGGGACGGGGAGAGGGGGGGTGAATCTGGGACAGCAATGTTTGTGTTTAACCTGCAAACAAGCAAAAAAGCAACCCATGTGCACCACGCATTTGAACATTGGGGGAGAAAGCAGTCGCACTTCAAGTGCCAACTGTTACACTGACTTTCAACACAAAAAGTTCCACATTAAACACAGGAAACTTTATTATAGACAAAATAAAACTACCCAAACAGACTGCACAGACAAAGAAAGAAAGAAAGAAAGAAAGAAAGAAAGAAAGAAAGAAAGAAAGAAAGAAAGAAAGAAAGAA